CGCTCGGCCATTTTGAATATTCTGTCTGCCCTTTTGTACTTAAAGGCTCTGGATCGGCATTTATGCAAATGAACAATGAGGTTTTGCACCCATTATTGTATCGCGGGGTTTATTGCTTTGTGGATGATGTAATCGTGTTTAGCTGTGATAGACGATCTCATGTTAGGTTGGTGAGGGAGGTGCTCCAGAAATTGAGGGAGGCAAAATTGTTCGCGAAGCTGGCAAAGTGTGAGTTCAATAAGGAACAGATAGATTTCCTGGGGTACCGAATCTCCAAGGGCGGAATAGCAATGGATCCGTCAAAGGTAGAGGATGTTAGGGAATGGAGCCATCCCCAAACACGCAAGCAACTGCAATCCTTCCTCGGGTTTGCAAATTTCTACCGAGGGTTCATAGAGGATTTTGCCCAAGTAACTCTACCCTTAACCGAACTGCTAAAGACAAAGGGAAAGGGGGAAACGGTGAAGGTACGATCCCCGGGAGCAAAATTAAATTGGTCACCAGAGTGCCAGAAGGCATTTGAGGAACTGAAACGCCGGTTCACAGAGGAACCGGTCCTAAGCCACCCTGATCTGAGTAAGTCGTTCGTGATTCACTGTGACGCGTCAGATTGGGCGTATGGGGCAGCCTTGATGCAGAGAGATGGGGAGGGGAGGTTGAAACCCTGCGGGTTCATCTCAAAGAAATTCAGCGAAACTGAACGGAACTGGCCAGTGTGGGAAAAGGAAGCCTTGTCGATCTTGAGGGCCCTGGAGACATGGAGACACTTGTTGGAGGGAAGCGGCATACCCTTTGAGGTATGGACCGACCATAAAAATTTACAATATATCACTTCGCCCAGAAGATTATCGGCAAAACAGATAAGATGGGGGCAGTTCTTCAGCAGATTTGATTTTAAGCTAAGGTTTCAAAAAGGGAAGCAAAATGTGGTCGCAGATGCACTGTCAAGATTCCTGGAGAAGGAAGGGAGGGGGCAAGGCCCAAAGGGGAGCATATTTTCGGAACAACAGTGGGGCATGGCAGTACA